CTGGCCCAGGCAGCCGGCCCGCTGCCCCCGGGCACAGTGGGAAAGTTTCCCGGCGTCAGGGAAGGAAGGAGAGCGGAGTGGGTGTCCCGGCGGCGCCTCGCGATCACTTCTTCGCTCCCTCCGCCCCCGCCTCGCAGCCCCGAGTCTGTCGGGCTCCAGTCGCCTGCGGGCCGAGGCTTTCCGATCTCGACGCTGCCCGCGGGACGGTGCGGGGACGGCGGGCTGCCGGCGGCGCGACGGGGAGGGAGCCCCGAGAGCCGGCTGGCCTGGCCTTGGGGGAGGCGGGGGACGAGATAGGCGCTGAGCATTTCTGGGGAGCCTGGACTCCAGGGCTGGTTTCTCCTCTGTACCCCACTCCTGGAGTTAACCGCGTCGATTCCTGCTCGGGCTGCGCGATTGTCTAGGGGGTCGGCCGGAGCTGCCGGCCGGCCTAGCCTCGCGGGAGCAGGAGTTTCGGAGGATCCTGGGTCAGTTTGTCCAGCACGCAGGCCTTACTCTTAGGTCTACCGTTTATTTAGAAAAGAAAAAGATGCCAGCTGCGCAGCGAGAAATTTTCCGTCCCCAGGATAGAGTTGTACCCTGCGGGTCCTGCGCTCTCCCCGCACCCTGGGTCCTCAGCACGTTCGCAGCCCGTAGCCACGCTCGGTGGCTTATTTGTGAAAATGGGGTGACAGTTAATTCAGTTTAAGAAGCTGACTCTGCTTGTCCCCCCAGCAAATAGCAAGGGCCTCGTTCAACTCCAGGTCTCCCCCAGCTTCGGTCCCCAGGTCGCTAACTTCACGCGCTCCTCCCAAGTGCGGTTCCATTTTGAGCTTTGGAAGCCGAACTCTCACTGAAGACCAAGGAATGTGTATTGCTTTCTATCCGATTCTTTTTGGTAACTTCAAAAGTTACATGTTTACACCTAACGTGTCGAGTTAAGTGCTAAATATACTTCCAGAGACCTCTGGAGAGAACATTAAATCAGGTTGAGAGAGTCAGGTTGAAAGCAATACAGGATCTGAAGGATCAGCGCTCACCGTTTTCTCCCTCTCGTTCCTTGGTCCAGCTGCCGCGTGAGGATCATAAACACTTTTGTTACCCTGTTTTGAATAAGCCCCTTCTTGCAGATTGCCTACCATTCCGTGAACTTTTAAATTCGTTGTAAAAGCAAAAAAAAAGAACCCCTCCAGGTTAGAGTTATTTGAAGGACTCTCAAAGTCATTACTTGGACGAAAAAACACTGGGCAGGAGCTTAGTGGTTAAGTTGTATCAATCTTTTCATAATGGTGGGAGATCATCGTTCTAATGGAGATACTACTAACAAAAAGAGCAGTTGCATTTACTTTTTTTCTGTTGTAGAATCTAAAAGGAAAGTAATAGTTTCAAATGAGGGTTTGCACTCGAATTTGTTTCACAGTTAAGACACTTGTATTTCCAGAGTTTCAGAAAATATTTAAAAATTATATTGTCTTAATGGATTTCAAAAAAATTTTACTGAATTGGAGTGTGTTGCTTACTTACAAAGCAAATCTTTAAAAATGTGAAGTAAAAAGATAAACGCTTTGGGAAAGGCTTTTCTTACTGCTGAGTAGAAGTATAGGCATTGTGGACTAAGAGTGCTTCAGCAAGCTTGCAGTTTCTCATCTGAATGAAATCATTGCCAGAAAGACACCAACAGTGTACCCCAAAGCCCTGGCTGTGTGTGGAGCTTCCTATATTGTTTGCAATGCAGTCTTGAGATTCACTGTATTCTCACCAGAGAAAAACCTAATCAGAGAGAGCACTGAGATAGATTCCTAATTAATATATGGTTCTTTGAACCAGTTTATTACCTATGTAACTTTTTTCCTCTGGCTGGAGGAAATGAAGTATGATTTATTTAAATTATTTCTGTTGTGTTAGTTTTTTGGTATATCCTTTTGAGTAGAATGGATTGCTTCAGTATGCGAAGTGCAGGAGAAAAGATGGAAGAGAAAAGAAATCAGATCGTCCTGTTAGAGTTACAATTCACGTTGCTTCCTAATTAAAGGGCAATTGAGAAAGAAAACAAAGTGGGGGTAGCTCTGTGAAATGATGAGGGACGGTGTCTCTCATTCTTTCAGGAACTTCTCTGGGCAAGCATAGGCACTCATTTTAAACCAGGGCATATGTTTTAAAAAGATGAAGTAAGAAGTGATTGAGTTGAATCTAACTAGGGGCTCAAAAGAAGTCAGAATTGCAAAGGATGGGAAACTGTTTCCCTAGGCAGGGGAAGCTGGTGTATTTGTTACTTGAAAAAGGTGAAAAACAGAGCTCTCCCTCTTCCCAG